CGCGGCCCGGCCCAGGCCGCCCGCGGGCTCCGGGCACCTGTAGCCCCCGAGGACCCGTGGCTCCTGGCCGCCGCCAGCCCCAGGCGGGGCCACCCCGCGGTGCCGACCCCGGGCGCCGGCCTGGACCCGGCTGCCCGCCACGGTCCCGCGGGGCCGGCCCTGAGCTCTGCGCTGGATTCGGGGTGCTGCCTCCCGCCCCGGCCCCCACCCGAGAGTCTCCGCCAACTCCTGCTCGGCCGCTCCTCTCGGCCCCTTCCCTTGGCCCAGGGCGACCTCGGCAGCCCAGACGGCACGGACCCTCCCGAGTGCCCAGAAAGCCCCTCGGGTGCCCCGGTGCCTCCTGGCTCTTTCTGGATGGAGGCGTCTCCGGAAGGAGCCGGCTGCACGCCGTGGCCTTCACCTCGCAGCCTCTGCTGACCACACCTCCCCTAGCGCAGAGGCTGCCCCGTGAGCAGGAAATGCTCCACCAGGTGAGGCCACCGGGAACGTGTCCCTTGAGAGGGTTTGGACTGGATGGCTCGAGGCTAGAGGGGTCTGGAGTTGGCCTGTTTAGGGGAGAGGGGCCAGCTCTGCACGGGCCAGGGCGGACTCTCAGGAGCACCTGGGCACAGGGCCAGGCCGTGGGTGACAGTGCTCTGAACACCTGCCTTGCCAGGGAGCTGGGGTGGCACCTGATACCCGTGGCCTGCTGGTGGCCTTGTCAGAGCAGGCCAGGGAGGCAATAGAATTGAAAGGGGCTTGCGCGCGGTGACTCACTCCTGTAATCCCAACACTTTGGGAGGCCGAGGCAGGAGGATCGCCTGAGGCCAGGAGTTCGAGACCAGCCTTGGGCAACAACGTCTACAATATAAAAAAGATAACAATTTGCTGGGCTTGATGGTGCGCACCTGTAGCCTCAGCTACTTAGGAGGCTGAGGCAGGAGAATTGCTTGACCCCAGGAGGCAGAGGTTGCAGTGAGTGGAGATCGAACCACTGCACTCCAGACTGGGTGATACAGAAAGACCCTATGTCAAAAAAGAATTGAAGGAGGCAAGTTATTGATGGACAGTCTCTCTTTGACCCCAGAGCCCCCTACCCTGAATGTCTTTTGGTGACTCCAGCTTCCCTCCCTTGTGAAGGGCTGATACCCACAGTTGTGTCTCAGTGGGGCTACCCCACTCTTTGTACCCCTGTGAAATATCAGGAGAGGTAGCCCTGCCTCTGTGCAGGAACAGGGTCCCGTGCAGCTGCCACCTTCCTGACCCTGAGCCTCCAGGCCTCCCAGACTCCCTGGTCTTCGTTGTGGCCTGGATGGTCCTGTAGTTGCAGCAGGGGTGGAGCTGACTGCTCTAGGTGGCCGGAGGCAGAGGTGGAGGGCCTGTGCCACCTGGCGAGGGCTCCAAGCATGCCAGCCCATCTGAACCGCCTCCTTCCTTTCTCTCAGCACAGCCGACTCCCGGGAATCCGGGTCTGACTGCCAGGATGGAGGTGGGGCCAGCCACTGAGACCTTCGTGCTGGAACTTCGATGTCTTCAAGATGGGGGCCCAGGGCCTGACACCCTCTCAGGTGAGGGCCTGGGGGGATCCCTTGACAGAGCCCTATGGCTGCCTGCTGTGACAGAAAGAGGCCCAAGCGTGGCAGGCAGGCCGCATGGACTCACACCAGCCAACCTCAGCTGTGCTGAGTAACACCGGCAGCCCTGCCTTGAGATTTTCCAAAGTGGCTGTGTCAGGCAGGCTGAGGCCAGGCTGATGAGGGGCTCCCCGGCCCCCATACTGGCTGGAACTTATTGCTGTGTTTCCCTGGCAGCCAGGGAGCCTCCACCATCCTCCTACCTCGCTCCAGTTCCTGACTCAATTTCCACTCAATTTCCTAGATCGGATTCAGACACTGATAGGTTCTTTTCCTGTCCCTCCTGCCTCAGATGTTGGCTCTGTGGATTCTTCTCTCTGGTGGCTTCTTAAGCTTGTCCACTTTCCCTTGACCTCTGCTCACATCTGTTTTTCTCTACCTGATGCCCAGGGGCAGATGTGGTACTGTAGAACCTCCCAAGTCCTCTTCCTCTGGGACCCACTCTGGGCAAACCTTCTTTGGTGACCACGCTCATGAGAGCTAGTTTCCATTCTGTGCTTTAAGTGTGCTGAGTGGGGGGCTGGGGCAGGGTGGGACAGAGCATGAAAAGGACCAAGGGAATTGGAGGGGTGGGATGGGGATATGTGAAGTCAAGAAGGATCCTTTTGGCCAGGCATGGTGGTTCATTCTGTAATTCCAGCACTTTGGGAGGCTGAGGCAGGCAGATCACTTGAGGCTAGGAGTTCAAGACCAGCCTGGCCAGCATGGTGAAACATCGTCTCTACTAAAAATACAAAAATGAGCCGGCTGTGGTGGGTACCTGTAATCCCAGCTACACGGGAGGCTGAGGCAGAAGAATCACTTGAACCTGGGAGGCAGAGGTTGCAGTGAGCCGGGATCATGCCACTGTACTCCAGCCTTGGTGATAGAGTGAGAGTCCCTCTGACTTGGAAATTTAACTGACAAAACCTTGGGAAGGTATACACATGAACATTGAACTAGATGTTTACTAAAATGCCTTCATTAAAAATGCTGGGGTCTGGCTCAATGGATAACACCTTTACAGGTGTGAGCACTTTGGGAGGCCAAGGCAGGTGGATTGCTCAAGCTCAGGAGTTTGAGAGCAGCCTGTGCAATGTGGCAAAACCCCGTCTCTACAAAAATTTTTTAAAAATTAGCCAGGCATGGTGGTGTGTACCTGTAGTCCCAGCCACTTGGGAGGCTGAGATGGGAGGATCGCTTCAACCTGGGAGGTTGAGGCTACAGTGAGCTGAGATTGCGCTACTGCATTCCAGCCTGGGTGACAAGAGCGAGACCCTGTCTCAAAAACAACAACAGTAAAACAAACAAACAAATTAAAAAAA